TAATGCCACCTCACCTGTACAACAAACTGAGCAAAACACGTGAAATAACACTTAATTTGAACATTTGCTCTCCTTTAACAGTCAGACGCAAAGCATGCTGGGAACTAAATCAGGCTTGTGCACAATTCAGAATTGAATTGAGAATGAATTTCTTGAATTTGAATTGATGTCAAAAACAGGATCTAGAATTACAATTCGAATTTGAATTAAAGGAAGCCGAATTGCAATTCAATAAAAATTCAAAGAAATTCATATACATATTTGAAGTGACGTGTTTAACAATGAAGCTTTACAGTATATGTCAGATATGATTGCATTACATATTCTATAAATGATAGTTTGAACTAGATTACATTAACAGGAAATGTTTTCCCCCTGCAATGAATGTTAAAAGCTCTAGTCACAGAACAAATAATTAAGTTTGATTCATTATAATTTTGTGGAACATGATGGAACATGACTCCATTTCCCAGAATGCTTTACTTTAACCAAGTATTTAAAATGGTTGCCAAACAATTTGAGGTGGACATTTGTTTGAAAGCTTCTTTTCTACACAATTTGATGGTCAACACTGGACTTCTTAAGTTTCAGAAGTCCCTTACAACTTCAGATTACAAACGTTTATAGATTTGACCCCTGTAATAACAGCGACATGGAAAATAATAGCAGGCCTAAAAGGTCATCTGTACTAGTTAATTTTGAAGAACCAATTTCAACAAAAACACCTGGAAACCACAGAGCCATTTGCAAGCACTGCAGTGCTCCAGTCTGTGGCTCCATCAAGGCTACTTCAAATTTGGAAAGGTATCTACAAGTAAGTTAACAGACAGGACAGTCTTCTATTTTGAAAACCATCTCTTGATGGTATTATGCTACTGATATTTGATATCATCAGTGTTGGGGTCACTACTCAAGAACGTGTAATACAAATTATTCACTTTAAAAAACAAAGAACACAATGCATTACCTTACTTGTTATTCTCTATGGATAGTAACTCAGACTCATTACATTACTGTAGAGCAACACAGCAAGAGCTTGGCATATAGCTCATAAAGGGCTTAAACACACCTTCAACTCACAACACAACAACATTAATGTGTTAAATTATTCAGTTACAGCCAAATGTGAGGAGTTACCCCCAACACTGGATATCATATGTGTTTAAAAGCATGCAAGCACACTTTTTACTTATTAGCTATTGTAAATCAAGAAAACAATTCTTGTCAATTGTGGAATTAATAGAAATATGTGTTCTCTTAAAGAGTGATCTACATTGAGGTACTTTTTTCCTACAGAAGAAACATCAGGAAATCTTGATGCACTGTGAAACCAGCGGTTACACAATCCAGCCAAACCAGAATGAAGATCATGGTAATCCTTCTGAAACAGCAAGTTCCAGCTCTAAGTGGTCACCAACTAATAGACTACAAGTTCCTCTGACTGACAGTGAAAGTTGAGTCTGCCTCCCCAAAAGGGAATGCAACCATGAAAGAAACGCCCAAAACTGTTTTCCTACATGAAAAGTCAACCATCTTCCATGCCAGCTGACACAGTCCCATGTGAGGTCCCTGTGTACTTGAGTACCCCTTGTCTCACAGAGGATACTGATCCTTTGGTCTATTGGAGAGAAAACCAAAGCCGTTTTTCTGCCCTAGCTCAACTTGCATGTAAATATCTTGTCATACCATCTTCCTCTGCACCTGTTGAAGAGAATCTTTAGTGTTGCAGGAAAGATATTCAGAGCAGAACGGTGCAGACTCAATAATAAAGCATTTGAGGAGCTATTGAGAATTAGATGCAACAGTGTTGCTCAGTGAGTTTTGCATTGGAATAAATGATAACTGCATTTGCAACGACTTTGTGTTATTTGATTACTTTGAAATCAAAACTAATTTAAACAACATTGAGGGGGTAATTTATTTCAAGAATTTGATCATTATATAATTTTAGAACAATGAATGCAGGGTTGAGGAGTGACTAGTTACGTGTAATGAAATTATGTTATTAAATTACTAAATTAATGTAATTGTATTTAGTTGTATTACTGAGGTAAAATGTGTAATTCAATTAGTTACTAATCAAATTAGAAGGAAATTGCTTTGCATTGATAAAGTAATCTAAATAAAGTAATCCAAACCACATTTATAATGGGTAACTATTACAGTAAGCAATTACATTAATTGTATGAATGAAAATGTATGTGAGATTCAACACATTTTTTTTCTGTTTTGCGACTGTGTGGCATTTCTTTGAATTGCCATGAATTTTATTCCACTTCCTGTGGGGCGGAGTCAATTCAATTCAAATTCCAATTCATGAATTGAATGGAGGCCAATTCTGAATTTTGCACAAGCCTGTTGGACGCGTCCATCTTAGTTTTCCGACCGGAATGCGGTCAACTCAGGTGTGACACCATTCCCAGCTCTGACATCCCTCTTCCGAGGTAAATGGAACGCAGCATTACACCTGTAAGTCAATGTGGTTTTCAATCTCAAACACTGAAGCCGCGGTCACAATAGACTGTGAGCATGCAAAATTTAGACGGATACTCCCAACTGTTGTAATATGACGTCACACACTGCAGCTACTTTTTTTTAAACATAATTCAATATTACATCCAAAATGTAAATATAAATAATTCTGCTCCACTTTATTGCAATACCGCAAATTTCAAGTTTGCGTTCTTTTAATTCAGCTAAGGGGTCACGCCATGAAGAATCAATCTTCTATTGGTTACACAGTCTTCAAGAGTAGCAAGGAAATTAGCTTAATTCGCATGCATCTGCTTGCGTTTCCTGTCGCCCGCTTTCGCATGTGTATGGAAGTCGCTGAAATGAAAAGTGTAGTGTGACTGCCCCTTAAAACTGTGAACATACAGTAAAAATCATTTATTAAAAAAACATGCCTCTTTGTATCATTCCGCTGCCCTGCGTCTTGGCGTTTTTAAAGACAAAACAGTGCTCTGTGTGAATGGCCTCTTACTCGTGTGATCGGCTAAACTGCTTATGTGTCTTTTTTTGTGTCTGAACTCTGGACTGGATGTGGATCCAATTAAAAAGCACCAACTCCTCAATATCCTTTTGCCATGCTCAGGGAATTTCTAAACGTGTTTAAAACCTCCAGCCAAACAATTTGCCTTGTCAAAACGCCCTCCTCTTTCTCGCCTTCTCCAGCTCACTGTCTGTTTGTCTCCCACTTCTCACTCATCGCTCAGATACTCCCATCTGTGGAATGCAGAGAGCTGTCCCTATGTCTCAGGGAGCAAAGGTCACAGCACTGGCCCTCGTTATTTCCCCTAAAGTTATCTCAACATGTATTCCTCTCAGCAAAACGGAAACATTTAAGCTTGCACGTATTCGCCATGGTTCAGTTTTAGCATGAATTCTGTTATGTAATGAAATAAAGTCTGAGAAGAGACTAGAGTATGCATGCTGATATCAGTGAAATTAGAGGTCTTAGTTGGCTGTTTAACAGAGAATAGGAAGTATTCCCAGCATGGAGTTTAATGTCTCATAATAATATTTCTAAAGCAACTCAGGGGAACTGTGTTGGAAGACGAAGTGCTGACTTGAAAGCATGTGTTTTGTGTGATGATGGATTATGAGAAAACAAATAATATCTTAGCTTATTTGGCTTGGTTTCAACATCATTTGATCATAAAATGATGCTGCGTTGCTCGGTAACTAATCTACTTGAAAAACTGGTCCTCTAATAAGGACTGCACTGCACAAGAGCACACGATTAAAATAGATACTGCCATGGCATGATATGAGTTAAACAACAGCCTTTTTCTTAATTTTGTGTGTGGAAAAAAAGTGAAAAACAACACACATTACAACAGACGGAAAACAATACTGTTATAACTGTCACTCACTAACTGTGCAGTGACATACAATTGAATATATGCAGGATTACCAGTTTTTCACAGTGATACAAAATTTTCTGCAAAACATTCTGTTAAATGTATAATTTTGTATTCCACGCAGGAAAGAAAGGGATATGAGAGTACATGTGGACAGAATTTTCATTTTTATTGTAACTAAACGTGATCTAATTCTGAACAATAGGCTTAATGATAACAAATTATTAGGATTCTTTATGGCACCGTTTAAATTCATTTTTAATAACATTAAAGAAACATTCATTATATAGGCTAATTGAAAACAGACCAAATTGCTATTAATATAAATATAAATGCAATGGAACTTTGATTCATATAGGCTATGTCACTATTTCTACTGTGTTAATTGCTTAGCCTATTTATCAAAGTTTTAGTAAAGTGCCTCCTATCTAAAAAACTGTGATCCCTGTGAACAGCAGTCTACATCTGCAGAAATAGGCTATAACTTCTCCCAAACTGAGTTTCATTTAGCATTTTCTCCAGGAGGCGGCACGGCAGTCGTTAATGGAAAAATCACTCCGGAGTCCGGGCTGACGATATGATTATTAGTTCCGTTACTTTCTTTCTTTCTTTCTTTCTTTCTCTCTTCTTTCTTTTCTTTTCTTTTCACTTCTCTAGCGGGAAGCGTCTCTTCTCTCCTCCTCCTCACATCACATCCGGCTCAGTTTCCAGAGCAGTTTGGACTCAGTTACAGTGCGGCGTTATGAAGTCCGATTCGTGTAAGCGAATCGATTCGAGCGGACGGTTCGTTTTTGACTAGACTCACTGATTAATTTGATTTGTCGCCTAATATTGTTCGCAAGAAAATCCGTTGTGGTTTTTTGAAGTCTATAACGTGTCAGAGAACTGTTTAAAAAAGTTGTTTAGAAACAATTTACCTAATAATTGTAACAATTTGTGTATGAAGCACGCATCCTTTTGCTTATTATTTTTGTGCGTGTTTAATGAAATTAATTAAGTCAATTCAATGTGTTTTCGTTTACGTTACTTCACTTGTGACAGAATTTGCGTAAGTTACGCTTCTATCATGTCACTTACCTTATTGTACTCCCAAAGTAGCCGACTGATTCACAAACGCTTCGCGATTTGGTTCGGACGAATCATCAAAAAGAACCGGTTCATAAGAACGGCTCATTCGCGAATCGGACATCACTGTTACAGTGAGTGGAGCAGTTTTAAGAGGCTGCTGTGGATCTGCTGCTGATATGGAGACTCTTCCCATCCACAGACACTGATCGTGCAACTTTAGTGAGCTGACTGGACGGATTACGCACTTTCATGGCTGCTCTCCGGTCACAATAACAACTCCAAACATGTCCAAAAGCCTGAAGAAGAAAAGTCACTGGACTAACAGAGTACACGAGATAGTGTTGTCCAGGGGTCCGAGTGGTGATCTTGGGTTCAAGCTGCAGGGAGGCGCGGAGAATGGACAGTTCCCCGTTATTGGAGAGGTGAAACCGGACAGGGGCAAACTGCAGCAGGACGATTTACTTCTGGAGGTGAATGATACTCCGGTGGCCGGACTGACCATCAGGGATGTGTGGGCTGTGGTCAAGCACTGCAAAGACCCTGTCCGGCTGAAGTGTGTCAAACAAGGTTAGTTTAACTTTATCTATCTATCTATCTATCTATCTATCTATCTATCTATCTATCTATCTATCTATCTATCTATCTATCTATCTATCTATCTATCTATCTATCTATCTATCTATCTATCTATCTATCGTGTTGTTTAAAGTTTCACAACTGCTTGGACTCGCGTGTGAAAGTTGTTAGTTTGTTGCTATAGAAGCGGAGTTGGTGTTTCTGGAAAGGGGGGCGTGTCCATCGCCACATTTTATTTTTATTTTTTAATGCTCGAATAACAATAACATAAGAACATTGCCAAGGAAATGCATGCAGATACAAAATAAAATAATACATAATGTCTACATAAAATTGACACATCCTCACACATCTTACAACAAATTGAGAAAAGTTATATTTAATAATAATAGTAATAAATAATATTTTTAAAAAATCTAAAAGTTATATAAAAATATAACCAATTCACAAGTTGCTAAACGACATGACAAGTTGTATTAATACAATAACATACATTACAAAAGCTTCTAAATAAATGGATTTTCTTTAAATATTTCTTCATAATATTTAAGGAATCGTTTTTTTTATTCAATTTCAAGTGTCCATCGCTACAGTAGCGCGTCCTGGTTATGATGTTACATCATCTTCACTTTTACAACGTCATCGTGCTGCTGTATACCATATTCTATTAAACTTCTAGCTACATTTACCTAAATTGTGCTTCTTCTTTTTTTTTTGTTGACACTGAAGGTTTATCTTTCCGTTATCCTTCAGTTTAGTTTGTGTTATCATCAGGCTGTAATCTGGGCTTTGTGGGTGTGCCACGGCTCTGAAATACTTCATGACATAACTATTTCCCCAAAAGGCCTGTATCTGAACCTCACAATCACACTGTCATGAATGATGCCAGTTTAGTTAAACAAAGTGCCTTGTTCTTTCTGTTTAGTAACAGACCCATAATTGTAAGCATTCTAGCTTCTTTAAGATTACTGGTTTAGCACGTGTTTGTGTGTGTGAAATATCTTCCTTTGACATAGATTTAGCATTTTAAAACCCACCTTCAGTAAATGTCTTCTAGATCAGGGGTTTAGAAATGTTTGATCCAAGGATGGACCCTCAAGTAGGACAATCCCACGTAAGGGATCCCTTCCTGAAATATAGTATTTGTTGTTCCTAATGTTAAACTTGAAATATTAGTTTTAATCAGTAACATCAAAAATACTATAATCCCCTGATTTAAAACCAGTATGTATTGTTAGAAAGCAGAGTGAAACGGTAATAATGTAGAATTTGGTAAATATTCAGAAATAATTTTTCTGAAATTTTCTGTGGACTTCTGTGGAGCCTCAGTTGAGTAAAATATATAATTCTAAATAGTTCACAATAACAAAAAAAATGTCCTCGTATATAATAATAATGAGAACCTTTCTCATAAATATGACTTTACATATTATTTTCAGAAAAGTTCTCATAATAATGTCTTAACGTCTCATAATGAGAAACTTTCTCATAATAATAATGTTAACATCTCATAACAATAAGAAACTTTCTTGTATTAATGATTTAACGGCTCATAATGAGAAACGTTCTCATAATAATGACTTATCATCTAAAAATAATGAGAAACAATATTAGAAAGCAGAATGAGACAGTTATTATATAATCTTTCCCCTAAAATTTACTATGGAAGCCTGTTTCTGCCTCAGTTGAGTAAAAATATGATTATGTAAGCAATAACAATGAGAAACCTCACAACAACGACTTCACATCTCATAATAATGAAAAACTAAGTTATTAAAATGAGAAAGTTTCTCATTATGACATGTTAAGTCATTGTTACTAAGTGTAAGTCATAATTATTAGATTATTAGATAAAAATTCTCATCATTGTGATTTACAGAATCATATTTTTACTCAACTTAAATGAAAACAGGCTTCCATAATGACCCCCCCCCCCCCCCCCCCCCATCTCAAATACATGATTAGATGCTTGTATTTTATAAGCGTCCCACTGCTCTTGGCATCACCAAAATCTTCTGTTGTGAAGTTTTGGCTTTGGATGATTATCGTTGAACATTGAGATCAAAGTTAGAGGCCCTGCATTTCAAAAAGAGGATACATTTGACATTGCTACCTTGTTTCATTGCCATGACCCTTGAATTTTGCTGTAGGCACAATAAAACCAAGCGATCAATAACTTATATGAAGCACTTTCAGTTACAGCACTCAATTTCAAGTCGCATATTTTAATTCGCCAACTCTCACCTCCCCCTTTCCCCTTAAAGGGATACTCCACCCAAAAAGGAAAATTCTGTCATCATTTACTCACCCTCAAGTTGTTGCAAACCTGTATGAGTTTCTTTCTTCTGCTGAACACAAAGGAAGATATTTTGAAGAACGATTGCAACTTTGGTACCATTGACTTCCATAGTATTTTCTTTTTCTACTATGGAAGTCAACAACTGTTTGGTTCCAATCGTTCTTCAAAATATCTTCCTTTGTGTTCAGCAGAAGAAAGAAACTCATACAGGTTTGCAACAACTTGAGGGTGAGTAAATGAAGAAAAATGCTTGTTCAGCTTTATAGAAGATTTGTGCAGCAAAAACAAACACACTTTATACAAAACCTTAAAAATATCCAAACCCCATGGCCTAATAGTGGGAAGTAGCACTTTTGTAATCAGTGCTTTTGTGTCTAAATTATGCCTTTCACAGTTTTTTTTTTTTGTTTTTTTTTAATTTGACACCTATTTGACTTGTATTTAGTAGTTGAAGGACATTTTTTTTTTTAAGTATGTTTAAATCATGACAGCTCTCTGAGAGATTGGCATGGTAATGGATATGGCAATGTTACTGTATTTGGTCTTGGTGGACTATATCTGTTACGGTGCTTCTGCTTCTGCTTCTGCTGTTGATTATTTCTGCTGCCTGCTTCTACAGAGCAAGCATGGATTTGCTACTGCCATTAGATACACAGACATGCTGCTGGGAACATACTATGTAAGATATGTTGCTGCTGCTGCATAAATTGACATAGATAAATCCCGTAGCAGATCTAGGCAGGTGGAGCTGGGGGAGGTGGAGGGTTTCAGAGGAACTCTGATAGCGCACTGCAGGACTAGCCTGCAGAAAACACTGAACAACACTATTTAAATGTTGACCAAGCAATCGCATTGGCTGCAGGATCAGGCCAATCAGCTTGTGCCATGTGGTCATGATGCGATAGCTTGTAGATTGTATGTAAAGGGCCTACCTCTATCACCCTGTGGACTCTAGAGTTTCATGGCTTAATATATATATATATATATATATATATATATATATATTGATCTGAGTTGAAATATTTTATTAGCTCTTTAAACGCATACGTCTTTAATACAGTCATTCATATCACTTATTACAAAGGATTTCGCTACATAAATAATTATGGGGATAAGATCTATTGATTTCAGATTAAACTGTTTTAAAACCGTACCTGTTTGTATCTCATAATCCAACAGTGTACAAAACAATAGTCACAAAATGGCAGCAGCTGCGTTTGTATGAAACAAGAGAGAGCGAGTCCATACCGCTGTGGGAATAACATACCGCTGGATGGCACGATTGACCAATCAGAATCAAGTATTCCACAGAGCTGTGTAATATGTATATATATATATATATATATATATATATATATGTGTGTGTGTGTGTGTGTGTGTGTTATATATAGTATCTACGATTTCATACTGGTAGTTAAAAAGTTTGAATTTTCGTTGAAGCGTTTCATGTAATATTTTTCTTTCTCAAGTGCAGTAGCAGGGGCCTACTTGATATTCATTGGACACAGTAGTAGGGCAGACACAAAACTGTGGTCGGTGTGGTCAGATGCCTAGGTAAGTACCCTAAGATGAGATGTCTGTAGCATTCATCTGTGAAATAACAGGTTGTGAAACACACACACACATTTACACAGCCTCCTGGGATGACCTGGCCAACTTTTTGATGTCTGGGGTTTAAGTTATCAGCGAGACCGTTTGGCGAAATCATTTTTCATATTACTTTGAAATGCTGCAAGGCGACCTTTAAATGTAGTTTTGTTACAATATCATAATTATGGCACTGCACATTATTGTATTTATGTTTCATTCATCCCCTTGGGTAGGATGATATGAGGTTAACATAAATTATCATCTTTCAGCCGCCAGTTATAATTGTAAATTTAATTTCAGATTAGAAGATGTAATTATAATCATGCCACTGAATTGATGTGTTAGTGCGCATTGCTTCTGGTCATTTTCTCTCCTGTTTCCTGTATTTGTTAACCCTGGACTCTGTGTTTGATGTTGCTCTCTTCACCCACTGCTTGACCTACCAATCATAAAGCATTTAGGGCCAGTGGTTGGCCACATGCTAGTTTAAACCACACCAAGAGGTCTGTATAACTGGGATGTGACATTGCATAGATAGCAAGTACACATTTTCTGGTACTCAGCTCATGGGGGTTGGCAACCTTAACTAGAAAGCGTTATTTAAGATAGAAAAAGCCTTGTGATGGAGCCGGCACCACAGCAACCGGAAAGCATGAGATCATACTAGCGTGGTTGTGGCATCTATAAACCTAGGCAGTTTGACATGAGTTTAGATCGGTTTCACCAGGCTGAATAAAAAGAAAAAGACTATGGCTCATCTTGCACACTTTGTGCTATCTACATGAAGGGTAGTTTAAGTAGTCTGGCTTTTTTTAAAAAGAGGTGTGCTGTTACTTTAAGTGACCGGACTGGAAACTAGTTGTGACTTGATTATTTGAATCTGTTCACCAAAAAGATCTGTTCAGATTCATTTATTTGTCCTTTCTGCGGGTTACTATTACATTGTTAAATCAGTAGGTGGTGAAAAGTGTCTTGTGAGTCATTGTAGGTCAGTGTCAGAAAGAATTTGCTTTGGTAAATCTTCATTATTTTAAAATTCATAAAATCCTAAAATTCATAATTATGGCATAAAATGTTGAAATTCTGAGATACTAAATGATAA